TGCACGAAGCTCATGTCCACCCAAATCTCAACTCCACACCATAGAGAATTTCTTCAAAGAGTATTCCCTGGTTGGAAGCAGGGCTCTTTTACCATTCCGCTCAGAGCGTGCCGATAGGAGGCGGCTTGAGATAGATACCCCCTTTGCACCTGCGGCTTGCAGATCTATAGTGTTATATACAGTCAAGTCGGAATGTAAATAATGTGTACCAATGTATAATAGGTCCTCAATCGGAAATCCCATTCAATCCAACTCAGTCCAGCTCAGAGGACTGGGGATGGATCCACCACGATACGGGGTAGAGAGCACATGACCATGCATAGCACATAGTGAACGTGTATAACACAAACGATAAGATCGACGACCGAGGCGTCTAGAAAGGGTGGCACAGACCGAGGCGTTGCACCTTGAGTGCCAATGAGTGGAATGAGTGGGAATGAAAGCACTGATAGCAGGGGGGAGCTGGCTGCTGGCGGAAATTGGGGACAGCGGCGCCCGGTGAGACACAAGCGGGACGTTTTGTGAACGGGTGTCTCTAGACCTATGGAACGCCTCCTCCAAATACACACAATGGATACACACCACTCGCGCAAGCACTGTAAACCTCTTCATTGTTGATGCGCCACACCGACATTGTTGTTAAACAGAAGCAACGCGTTAAGTACTAAGCTAACGCGATTTCGGCGCCAACCCAAAGAACGTCGATTCATCTCCCGATTGATCTTTTGATCCGTGCATAGCGATACCAGTCCTGCGCAGCCTCCTCTTTTGTCTGAACGCGACCTGGAGGCATCCTCGAGGTCCACACAGACATGCTCAATGAGCGACACGGCCGCGCCGCCTTCAGTTCTCGACAGCAGCCCCGCCGCGACTGCCGTTGACTTGCCAGCGAAGACACCGCCGAACCCACCACCGACGACCACGACGTCGTCATCCTCGCCCAAACCCCTTCGGCACACGCCCGCCCACATTGAGAGCACCACCAAACTCGCGAGAAATGTCTCCCCGGGCCTGCTGGCACGCATGAAATTCCTCAACCAGATCGCCGACACCAATAACAAGAGTGCCGTCGACGTCGGCCGCATCGAGGAGGACCGCCTGCGCCGCCTGGACGAGTTCCGCAAAGCCCGCAGCCTCGAAGTCGAGCGCCGCGGCACTGCGTGGACCGGAAAGGCTGGTCAGGCTCCCGCTGCTGGAGAAACACCCCTCGTCCCCCAGTCGACCGGCGAGAGCGTGCCCACGCTGGTGATGGAGCCCGACTTTGACAGCGACCACAGCAGCGTCGTCAGCACCAGCGATAAAGTTCTCCCCTCTGAGTCAGAAGCCGAAATAGAGCTCGACCTGCAAAAGTACCGCCTGCCCGACGTCACCAAGTCGGAAAAAGCACTCAGCGGCACCATTACCGCTGCTGAACCCGAACCCGCGCCCGCACCGCCCGCCGAACCAGCACCCACAGTCGCGCCTGCCAAACCAGACCCCATCGCGCCTGCCGACCCTGAGCCCACCGCACCTGCCGAACCAGAGCCCATGGCCGCACCTACTCCCCCACCCAAAGACACGCCACCCCTACCCGCCCCCGTACCCGAAGAGGAGCCATCCGTCCTCGACGACAACAATGGCATCGACATCGCGTCCTACTTCCAGAAGCGCCACTACCCCCGCGCCAACTCCATCTACACCCTCTCCAAGGCCAGCTTCACCAACCAGATCCAGCAGCTGACTTCGATGAAGCTGCCGCCCACAACCATCGCCTCCGAAATCACCGCCCTCCCGACCTCCACCCAGGCCGGACGCGCACTCCACAAGGCAGCCAACGACATCCGCCTATGGATCTCCAAGACGAAAGAGGTCCTCAGCGGCCTCGACGCCGACGATGACGTAGAGTGGGCCGCAGCTGCCGGAAGAGAAGGCCTGGAGGAGGTGGATGCCGCCATCGGCAAGTTCGAAGGGCTCGTCAACGTCTACATTAGCGCGATAGAGGACCTGCAGTCGCGTTCCGACATTGCACTCCTGCCCACCAAAGACCAGACGACGCTTGTCAGCCAGATGGAGGACATCGTCATGAACTGGGGCGAGATCAAGCAGACGCTGAAGAACATCAAGAACCAGGTCGAAGTCGCCATGGAGTGGGAAGAGCTGTGGAACAACGTGCTTGGCGAAATCGGCGCCGAGGTCAGAAACCTCAGTCGTCTGATCTTCGAGATGGAGGAGCGCAGACACCGCGTCATCTCCGACTCAGTCGCCGAAGCTCCAGAGAAGTTTGACATTTCCGAGCTCGAGACCGTCGTTGAGGTCATCCCCCGGAAGCAGTCGATAATCAACAGCAAGCGGCTTAGTATGCCGCCCAGCCTGTCCATCGTCTCGCCCACCTCGCCCATCCCGCAAATCGAACAAGAGAACTCGCGACTGCTAGCCCTCTTCGCCAAGCTACAGCCACTGCGTGCTTCGCTCGATTTCCTTCCTATGCGACTTAGCGCCTTCCAGATGCGCGCGAGCACCATCTTTCCTTCCGCCTGTGACGAACTGGTACGGAGGAAGGAAACGCTAGAAGAGGAAGAGGCTAAGCTGGAAGCCGACGCAGATGCGCTGAGGCAAGAGTTGGGCGAAGACAAATGGGTGCACAGCTTCCGTCAAGCTCATAGCAAGGCTGCTGCCATGTACGACTCGTGCATGAAGAGCATCGAAAGACTGCAGCAAGCCATCAACGACAGCGACGAGGAGAAGCTGGCTACGCGCATCGCCACCTACAAAGACAAGCGAGATCACTACCCTCCGTCTATGAGGCGTGTGCTGGAGCTCATCGATATCGAGATGAAGCACAGGTCCACAGTCAACGGTGAGATCCTGCGTATCCAAAAAGACGTCCGCGCAAAGGTGGAGGACTTGGAAGACGTGGCTGGAAACATGGACATCATCTTGAACGACTTCACTACGTCGCGGAAGCTTCGCGACTCAGTCTCCACCGTACTGACAGAGGGCTCCTTACCACAGTCAAGCGTTGACACACCAGGCACATCCCCCGCTTCGAGTGTCGTCATGAGCCGTAAGAGTAGTGGACAGCGGCCTTCCATTACTCCGGTAAGCAAGAAGCCTCGTCAGTCCAGTGTTGCGAGCCTGAAATCGTCGGCCCCTCCCAACCGGCGATACTCCAGCATACCACTGGGTGCTGAGAGTGTTGCGTCTCGCAAATCTACACTCGAGCGTTCCGCACGTTTGGACTTTACACCTTCCCGCGCCATGGCTGGCACTGCAGCTAGTCAAGCACGCGCAAAGACGCCGACCGATAGGCCTGGACCCAAGCCTCGTTGGAACTCGGACACGCACATGCGCGATACTGTCGTCGGGCACAACTTTAAGCCGTTGACTCTGACCACACCTTCGCCATTCCGGAAAGACGAATCACCCGACGGATCGCGACGGGGCTCAGCAAGCCGTTCGTCAATACCCCTCAGAAGCCCACTGAGTCGCTCGTCAGCTCTTTCGCCGACTGCATCCAGTCGTTCCCCATCTACTACTCCGGGACAGCAGCGCCCTGCTCGGTTGATGCCAAGCCCAATGAACTCATCCCCCGTTACTCCTGCAAAGGGCAAGCTGCCGATACGATCTACGCCCCTGTCTTCCTCAAGTACAAGTACGCCAGCGTCTAGCCGTCGTGTTTCGACGGTAGTAGAAAGCGGCAAGAGCCCTGCCAAGGAAGAAAGTCCGGCGGCCCGTCGCGCATCACGCCCTCCGAGTGCCGCAGCCAGTCGTCGCAGCAGTCTGTTGCCTACACCCAGACAGCGCACCTCATCCACTTCCGAGGCCACCAAGTCAACTCCTCCTGCTAAGTCGACTCCTCCTGGACGCTCCAGCAGCAGGCTCGATAGCTTGGCCGAAAGCCGCACTTCTAGCCGTGTTAGTGGTCGCCAGTCGAGCGTAGGAGACAGACCGGTTTGGAGATAGGCACTTGCAAATCGGACAATTCACCTCGACGGACCGGCGCAGACCTGAACGATACCTTTTGTTTCCAAACGAACGACAGCAACATCACGCAATCAACGTTAGCGAAACCTACTTATTTACCCTCAACTTTCACTTCGCGTCTGGATCCTGGCTTGGTCCGAACCCCCATTCCCTAATATCGACTTCTAGTACTAAGCATCTGCATTCTTTCGAAGAAGAATCTCTCTCTTTCCCTGCGATGTATCATCGAAATATCCATCTCACCTCTGGACCATTATATCCACACTTTTGATTTGTTGCTTTTTTTCATCTGGCGTTTTAGCGGTTGGGAGAAAGTATCCTATACCCCGGAGTTTCACACATGTTTTTGGCTTTCTTTGAAGAAGCATTTCTTGTTTCACACATGGCTGAGCGAGCGAGCGTATATGGCGAATGGAGTGCGTGTGAGCGTTCGCATGTTCTTGTGTGCTAGGCGCTTGCAGCATGGTGGAGGGATCTTGAGAGCATGCGAAGCGTATGCTTTTGTAGATAGGAGCTAGATTGGTATTCATGGGTGGATTGGGAGTGGACGGTGGGAGTGGGAGGTGGAGCAGACTAATTCTATGTACGAGCGAGTGTATGTTAGATAGTTGAGTGAGATATAGAATGATACCATAGTAAACCGACGTCTTCTCTAGTATTGACTGTACCGCCGATGTGACTCACTGGTTGAGGGTCAAGCCCGGTCATCAATGCCTTTGTCTCCCAATATTCAAGACATGCGCACGTGAGTGGATGGCATCAGTCCTCTTCGAACCAAAGACTTCACACCTGACTCATCATAAATACCAAGACAGCAACTCTAGAGTGTCTTACTGGTATCTTGCTTGGGGACATGATTTTTGCGAGACATTGTACTCGCTCAGCCCATATAAATTCCTACAAAGTATCAATCCTGTTATTGTATAACCACCTACGTCAATCTTCACACGAACACACAAAAACCAAAACCTTCACATCCAATCGCATCCACTCTGATGACGCCCACGCACAAAGAGAATCTCATTCAACACACGAACATGCAGAGTTGTTTAGCAGAAAACTGCAGGTTCTGCAAGTGGGAGCGCGAACTCGATGGTATCCCAGTAGAAGAGGTAGCCCCGCCATCGAATCTCGAGAAGATACGTACAGACATGAGGGCGAGGGCAGCCGCGAGGAAATCCCACGGAACAGAACGAGAGCGGGACGGTACTGCATCTACATCCTGGCCTCCGGACGATGCACGTTTCGATATGAATCCACTGGCGTCACCGTTGGTGAGCAGGAGTAGGAGGGATAGTGTCACGTCTTGTCGATCGGAAGCTATGGCTGAGCCATACGATTACTTTACCGAGCAGCCTGGAACAACAGATGTTGAAACGGATGATAATGAGGATTCTGGAGACATCGAGATGGCTGAGGGAGAGGGAAACAACGGCATCGAGCCACCAAGCCCTGCTTCAAGCTCGGTCTACAGTAACGACAACCCCCTCGTGCTCCCCCACAGCCCTCTCTACACACAAAGCGAAAGCGGTATACCAGACGACAGCAACGACAACGATAAGAACGACTCCTTAGATTTTCTAGATGAAGTCCTTTTTGACCTTGACGCTTGGCTTGATGCTGGGGGTTTGGAGATGGGTGGTCTGCACGACGATATGCCAGAGGAGGAGTATGCGGAGTATAAGGAATGGTACAAGGCGATTGTCGGAGGGGTTGCGAGGGGTATGGTTGAACGAGGAATGTTGATGGAGAGGACTAGGAGGAGGAGTGTGTAAGGGCGATGAAGATGGGGATAGATGATGTGGAAGGGGATAAGGAGTATGGTTGTGTAGAGTGGTATCACATGTTACGTTCATCGCACGAATAGCTTTTTTGACTGATAAAAGTGAATATCTAGCCTCCTACCATCATTCATCCGACTACCTAGGTACATAGGGCGTCAAGACTTCCATACCCTGCAAAGGGCCAATCCTATGATTACTGATACTACACAGCAGCCAGTGCGGCTGAGCTGAACCCAATAGATGCGCGCAGGGACTGAAAAACGAAACGGGCCGCCGCTAGTGTTAGCATCTACCGTTGCATATTCTCCGCATCTTACTCTCCGTAGCAATTTGAGCGGACTTGGCAGGCGACGGAACGGAATTGACGTGGTGGTCATCCGGATCGGATGTCAGTTTTGACGCCTACATCCGTTCTCACTGTCCAAACGGAAGACGAGGATTGCAAAGCACCGGATCTACGTACGCAGCCTTGTGTCGCGCCTACTCCATGATCGTACGTGGCAGCTACCCAGTACAGTGTCGTTCGTAAGCCACAGTCCCGAAGTCATGGTAAGAGTCTGGGCACTGGCTAGCTTATTACATCCCCTGGATATAGCATACACTTTGCCTAATTTGGCACATTATATAAGCAAGAATGGGAACTGTATAGGGCTCTACCATGCTTCACGTTCCAAGTCAGCAGCCTTGTCTGCTTGTCGGTGAGCTGTAATCGGCCCTCTAGATGCTGGATGCTTACAATCAGGGTATTGTTGTATGCCGCGATGAAGGAAAGATTCGTGTATATAAAGCATCGTAGATCATCTCGAAGCTTCATCAACACCAGAGTCGTACATCAGCGTCTTACAATTACAGAACTCCTTCAGTTACACTTGTCAAACCTCTCTTTTCCGAAGAACTTTCTTTCCAATCTTGAAATGGCACCCGAACAAGAGCCAAAAGGCTACCGATGGGACATCATCACAGCGGAAGAACTCAAATATGCTCCGCCGTACTTTCAAGACGTCCCAGAAACGACAACTGAAGTGGAGTGTAAGCTCAGCGGCACATGGCCCAAGTGGCTCCATGGCTCTTTCCTTCGGTACGTCACCCCTGCCCTTCACATCTCCTCTAAATCCCCAGCTAAGATCAACTTCACCATAGGGTTGGCGTAGGCCGTTTCACAGTCCCCACCTCTGAAGACGACTCCACGCCACGAGTCGTCATCCAGCATCTCTTCGACGGCCTGGCCCTCCTCCACAAATTTCGCATGACCAACGGTCGCGTATACTACATGAGTCGCTACACTTCCAACGGAATCACGCGCGCCGCGCAGCGAGACGGCTACGTCAAGAACTCGTGGGTGGGACCGAATCCCAACACGCCTCTTTTCGAAGCCCAGGATCCGTGTTCGAAATTGCTTGGAGCGCGTGTAAGTCTGATCATCTTCTCCTCCAGTCATGGCTATCTATGAGAAGCGATGGGAAGACTGACTGATTCTCGATGGATGTAGCAAACCGTTTTCCTGCCTCACGATTCCATCGAACCAGATGCTCTTAACGTTCATGTTCAGCCGAGATGTGGTATGCATCTACCGGAGGATAAGAACCCGAATTCGAGGGGTGTCAAGGCGGAAGATCCGGCTACGCAGGAGGTAAGACAAACCCCATCTCCAATTCCTGCCAAAAGAATCTGGCGAAGCTCACGCTGAGATATAGATCCTCGTTCACACGGACTGGAACTGCATGCAAATCTGCGATGCAAAGACGCTCGAGCCGAAGCGCTTACTCTCTCATGCGGTCATCGATCCCGAGCTCGCTGGAACAGGGTGCTGCGCTCATCCCGTTCATGATCGCAAGCGAGGAACGACGTACAATTACTTGATCGATGCGGCGGGGATCATGTATATCTTTGCGCTGGATGTGGTTGCTTATCCGGCGCGTCTGTTGTGGAAGTCTGCGCTGCCGTGTAAGCCGTGCTACACACATGCTCTTGCTATGACGGACAAGTATGTTGTCTTTGTCAGGAACGTAAGTGGTATTTCCGACTGGATGGAGTGGCGGTAGATGGATCGAAACTAACCTGCCATCAGCCTGTTATATTGGATCTCAGTGATCCGACGAAGACCCTCGTCGAGGCGATGGTATGCGAGCACGACTCCCCCGTGTACTTCTACGTCCTAGACAAGGCCGACGGCAAGGTGTAAGTTCTCTCCTTCCATCTCCAATCTCACCTACTAAAACCTTGCAGCATCGCATCCTACCAAGTCCCCAGCTTCTACTTCTTCCACACAGCCAACGCCTACGACTACGTCGATCCCAAAACGGGGCACACGAACGTCCATGTCGACATCGCGAGCTACAAGGCCGAACACTACCCGTACCACGAGTACGCGATTTCGAACGTCATCAACCCGCTCAAACCCTACCAGACGGGCCGCCTCGTCCGCTACGAACTCTCCGCCGTCAACACGCGTGATCCCGCCGTCGTCGCTCGCGGCACCGTCAAAGCCGCTATTCCAGACATGATGGCGGAACTACCTCGTATCTCCAAAGCCGCATCCATGGACCCAAACTACCGCTTCGTCTACGGCGTATCAGGGAACGGTATTTCCGCTCCAGGCACAGATGTTCCCATCGGGCGTCTCGGCAACGGCGTCGATATGCCACATGCGTCGTTCTATGGCCACCTCTTCAAATCGGATTGGCGAACTGGGACGTTCAAAGCGTGGGTCCCGCAGAATGGAGAGAGCTGTCCAACGGAGCCAATTTTCATCCAGAGGCCTGGTGCGACGGAGGAGGATGATGGTATTGTGATTACGATTACGATCAATAAGGAGGGGACGAATAGTATTCTTGTGGGCCTTGATGGGAGGACGTTTGAGGAGGTGGCGAGGGCGGATATGCCGCAGGTCTATTCGTTGGGGCCGCATGGGTCGTTTGTTGAGGGAGACTTTGGAGTTGTGAGCCGTATGGGGAGGGAGGGAGAGTAAGGTTGTTAGAGTGTTGGTCTGCTCCCTCTCGAAGACTGCCATTTTTTTCCTTGAGAGCTCCTCGTTTGGTATGAAGGGCAGAACGGCAATGCGACTTTTGAAGATGTAGAGTCATTCCACTTTGGTCTCCTGCAGCCACCCATTGGGAGCAAACACCCCGTATTTGCGCACGCTCCTACAAATGCGAAGAGTCGCCTTCTTCGCCCCTATAGAACTTCTCAGTCTCTTTCAACCTCTCCTATCTCATTGTACGATATCAAAGTCACCTTGCAGACATCTATATCTAGCTTCTAGACTTCCTCCGCACCAGCAACCATGTCTGACGATAACCCTCGGGCCTCTCATGCCGACTGCTTGGACGATGAGCTGGCTGCTCTGACGCTGCAGCTTGAGGAGCTCGGCGTCTACTCCGATTCTGGCAAAGGGAAGCATCCCGTGAATCAACCTCCTGACGTCGATGTTGCTTATGGCCAGTTTCAGGCCGAACTTCAAGCTCACAAGAACTTTCTTGCCGACCAAAAGCTCGCCCAGAGCATGGGAGCTGCTGTGCACTCCGATAGCGTCATCATTGGGGATCTTACCTCACAAGATGTCCAGGCTCATGCGGACCGCCGGTTTGCGCTGGAGTTGAGCAACAACGATCCTGAGATCGAAGCCCCGCCGCCGTCTGTGCACGAAAACCTTCAAGGAGAAAACCGTGACTGGATGTCCACCGCCTCCGAACACATCGCTGCTACTTCGGTCGTTGAGTTCTCCGATGATGAGACAGAGGCCGGACCGTCTATGTCCTACTTGGAGCGCCAAGCCGACACCATCAAGAGATTATCGACGGAGTTCAGGTGCTGCACTTGTCTGGACCGAGTTCCCCGCGCATCTATGGTCAAAGCGGAATGTGGAGATCGCTACTGTGTTGATTGCATCAAAGGCCTTTTCATGCGGTCAACGAAAGATGAGAGTCTGTATCCTCCCAGATGCTGCAAGCAACCTATTCCACTTGACCTAGTCGCCAGGCACATGGATCCAGAAGAACTGACTACGTTCGAGCTGGCGATCGTGGAATATGCGACAAACGACAAGACGTACTGCAGCAACCACGACTGTAACACCTTTGTTGTCCCCAACAATATCGAGCCTGGTACAAATCGCGCAGTCTGTCCAAAGTGCAGCACGGAAACCTGTTCTCTCTGCAAGGCAACCTACCATGGAGCAACTGACTGCCCCGACGATCCGGCGCTTCACCAAACTCGGGAGTTGGCACGCGAGATGGGATGGCAGACCTGCTACAATTGTGCCCGAGTGGTACAGCTGCGAAGCGGCTGTAATCATATGACGTAAGTTCTCGACGCTTCGTAGGCGTAAGCTATGCTAATTTTTCGAAGATGCCACTGCAAGGCCGAGTTCTGTTACGAGTGTGGCACCCGCTGGAAGGAATGCGGTTGCCGTACAGCAGACCCCAATCGTATCGTAGAGCGTGCAGAAGAGATTGTGGACCGAGACGCTGAACCGAACGTACTTCCTGATGTGTGGCGTCAGCGTGTTGACAGAGTAGCCGCCGAGTTGCAGAACAACCATGAATGCGAGCATTCGCGACGCTTCCAGCGCATTTTCCATGGCGCGCCGAGGAGAGGCTTCAGATGCGAGATGTGCGATGCACGCCATCACAAATACATCTTGCAGTGCCGCCGCTGCTATGTCAATGTCTGCGAGGACTGCCGTCGCAACCGCATCTAAGGACGAGCTTGAGTCGTTGTGGCCACTCCCATCAAATGTTACACCTCTGTTATTGGGTTCGTTTCCATTCTTCTGACGTCCGTCACTAAATGGACTTCCACTCATTAGATTAAAGCAACATAATCAGGATCTTATCTGCCAATTAGCCTCGTGTTGTGCAAGATTTTCTTTGTTCTCGTATCCGCCAGGGAGCAAGCGAGCACTCATATCCGGGTAATTCGAAAGTACCACATAAGTCGAAGGCATGACTCTCTCTGTCAGGACATGCAAAAAACAACACATTAGAAGTCTCTCCCAATAAATCCCTTCTCTTTCCACCAGCGATGTTGCTACGCGCAGTCTTCAACCTCGTAGTGTTCGGCACATGTGTCGTTGGCCTCCATATACGCAACGAGATCCGGCAAAACGATTGCGACGAGCTCGGAAATTACCCTCCTTACACCGGACCATGTGAAGTCGAAAGTAAGCGCAAAGATGAGCCTCCAGCTCTCCGACGTTAAAGGTGCGCGACGCGCTGACTGCAAGCTAGACTGCGGCGCAGGGCGACTCAACTGCTTGAAGCAGGTACCGACCTACACAAAATGCGTTGGTTATCCGACTGTGGGTGAGTATGCGTTTCTGCGACTAATGTTTTAGTAATTGACGAAGAGGTAGGTTGTCCTTTCGTAGGATGCGCGTGTGAAAGGTAGGAAGGCTGGGGATGACATCACCAACAACAGGGTTAGGCTGGAAGTGGCTTAGTGCCAAGGTTCGTTCTTTCGTCCAGCCTTCACAGGGACGCGTCTTCTCTTCACCAAAACGCGAGATTTGATACGCACAAATAGAAGACCCCCATCTCAAAACTTGTTTCGTCTCCATGGGTCAACATATTGCTTACGCGATCTGAATATGCACGACCAATCGTTGAGCGAGCGCAGGCTGAACCCCTCTTCCCCGCTGGATGCCTTCTTTCTCAGAATGCTGCTCGAATACAGGCGACAACATCGCATATCCATGCCTGATCTAAATGTAGCTTCATTTCTCATTGATACATCTACATACTAGAGACTTCATTTCGTTACAGATAGTCTCCGAACGAGTTAGCCTACTCAAGCGATCGCGTGGGCGGGCCTTGCGCTTAAACCATCGAGTCCAACATGGCGACGAAACCCCCGTTTGTCCGAACATACAACGCATCAACCGATTTCGAAGACGGAATCAACGTGGTATGCGTCACAACACCGATTCACTCATAGCCGTCATCCTGACGACAGGCACAGTTCCTCAAAACCATCGACCCAGGCCTTGACTGGGAGCCAGCGCGCACCATAGGCTGGCATCTCTGGTACAAAGCCTATGTCGATCTAACACCAGGAACATGCTACGTGCTAGATGACGGTAACGGACGCGTGGTGGGTTACTGCATCGGCGCCGCTGACACAGCGTCTTTTGCGCAGCGCTGGCGCGACGTGTTCACTCCGACTATCGACCCGAAAATTATACCGCATCCGGACATACAGACCGACAATCCACAGATGGAAAGGGAAGACGCTAAGCACTTCCGAAAGGCCGTGTATGAAGCGGATTGCAGTATGCTGCAGCCCTGGCCCCGGATGTTGGAACAATATCCGGCGCATTTACATATCGATATTCTGCCGGAGTATCAGAGGAAGGGATGGGGCTCTGTACTCTTGCAGAATTTCTTGGACACCTGCAAGATTATGGGCGCGAAGGGTGCCCATCTTGATATGGTGCAGTCGAATACAAGTGCAAGAGCTTTCTATGAAAGAGTTGGGTTTCAGATCTGTCCGCAGGTGCTGGATGATGGGGCGAGTGGCCAGCCTGGCGTCAACGGCATCGTGGTCACATTGGTCATCAGTCTATGAGCACTCCAACTATTGTCGACGTTGTTACTTATCCTATTGTTCTTCTAATCAGGTTGAACATCGTCCCATGAAAGATCTGCGGGCTGTTCTACAGCTGTTTACAACGTGGCCGTAAATTCACCGTCATGTCGAACTACCCATACCTCGCGTAGTCTTTCTTGCGCCTGTTGCTCGCACCAACCGTTGTAGCATGTCAAAAAACGTCAACGCAACACTTACGCAATGGTACTACTTAACTTTTCCGGAACTGTTACGGAGACGATAGTCATCTCTGACGAAGAGCTTCCTCCACGCTGGAAGCTGAGTCAGTACAATTTGGCGCAGTCATGCAGACAAAAAATGTTCAGATGCCAACGGATCTGCTGTTGTCAGCCACTGTGACAGACTTTTGCGATCCAGATATATAAACCCCTCCTCCATTCCTTACATCTGGAACCAAAAGGCAGACACTGACATCGCAAAACTAAGAGACCACCCGCAATGCCTCACGCGACCCAACATCCAGCTATTGCGCCCGCCACACCTCTCACGAAAACATTGGTTGCGCCGAATGGTAATGTCCGATCTGGTAGCTTTATGAGCGTTCACCAAAGGAAAGACCTGCAGCAAGCACATGCACTGAACCCGCTCGACCCATTCGAAGTTGACGGCACACCTGTGAACGAGTGCTCGACAGCAGCAACATCCGAACATGACCTCGAAGAGCTGAGATCAACCCTCACTGAAGCCAGGAAAACCATGTATGCTGCTATGAAGAGATACAGCGACCTATACTGGATCGGCGAGCTTCTTTACGAGCTCCCAAGTTCATATCAGATCGATGCGACTTCAGAAGCACCAGTCGAGGAATCAGATCACCCAGCACAGGAGACTCTAGCGAAAGCGCCACGTCCGCCTCCTCCCAAACCAGAACCTCTCTCGCGCGATGACTTTATCAAACTCCTGGAGGACGAAGGCCTAACCTGGCTTCTCGAGCACTTAGACACACTACCCGTTCTAGACGACTATGCAGTTGTAGCTACTGACGACCCCAAAAAGAAGCGCTGCAGGGTTGGTAAGCCTAGAGGTAAGATCCTAAGAACAGATCAGACTGATGATCTTAAGAGGAGGCTGTGCTGTTTACATGCAACTCAAAAGGATTTTAATTATCAGATGAGTATTAGAACCTTGAACCCATGGAAGTGCTGGCCAATCAATGCTGATGAGCCTGTGTTCGAGGGAGGGAATGAAGTGTGAGGTGAGTAGGGTATGTTCGCTCCACGGTATCCGGTAGCAATACATATTACAGCCATGCCAGCACGTGTATACTTTTGCGCAATTAATGTCTAATTTTCGCGTGCAATCCTACTGCTACAGTTTACTGTTGTCTAGCCTTTCACTTTAATCCTGGGGAAACAGACTCCAGGTCCAAGCAAATTCAGTGACTTACCAACAAGATGGAGTTCGAAAGCCAATGATAAATCTGCTAAGCTGGGTTTACATTCTAACCAACGCCCAACGCTTGCGACCCTTACAACCACTCCACGCTCACTTCCTCAACCCCTTCTTCAACGACCCAACCAATGCCCCCACAATGTTCCTACCCGTAGTAAACAGCGTCTCGTACCACTCTATCTCCGCAGCATCCCTCGGTGAGCGAGGTCCGTCCTCAAAGACATCGTCGTGGACGTCGGCGATCGGCTGACCCCGCTTGTCTACAGGTTTCGTGGCATCGCCGTGGAATGAGATCGTCGTGCGTCTAGATCTAGCGGTGGTGGTATGCGATTTTGAGGACAAGGACAAACGTGAGAACCACTTATTGGAAGTAGTCTCGGTGTCGGCAACACTGTCGTGCCGAGACTTCTCTTTGGCGTTCTTGAGCTTGTGATCGGTGAATGCGTGACCTTTGCCGTAGTTGTTTCGTCGGCTTGGTTGATAATGTTTTTGTCCGGGCATCTCGGTAGTGTATGGGGTTGTTGGTGATAACGTCTGAATAGCTGAAGTTTTGCGACTTCAGTGCGAAGACCTGCTGTATTGAAGCTACTGATAAAGAAGCATGAGATATGGTGTGTGTAGTCTCTTATACAACGAATGAGACTGTGTCTCAGACATCTAAGTAGAAGGTAGTATCTATGAAACGGATCAAAAACCATATGTCTGACTCAATTCTAATCCCACAGCTAACGCGTAAGCAGGTGTGAATAGCGATGCTGTATTCAACTACATCTCTCTCAATCTTCCGCACTACGCAAATCTTCTCTCCAAAAACGACACGTCTTTCAATCGATGAGATGCTGCTCCAGCAGCTTGCGTGTCCAGAACAAACGAGACTGAAACCCGTGCATAGAAAGAGCCCCTCCAAATCCTTTGCCGCAGTTCAAAATCCGATATCTCCGCTTGGAAGTGCTGAGTAGGAAGATAACCGGTCATCGTTGGGGGATTGATGAGGGGAGGTGTGATGGTGTAAGCTTTTGTGCGTGTGTGTGAATCGGTCGAAGCAGGTAGTCATGCGATGACGAAGCTGATGCTTTGTAGCATTTTGTATCGCAGAGGTGTGGATATGATGTGTTTGAACTACATCTTCTCTACCATGCAGGGCCAACAGGACAGTCTCAGGATAGCTGTCTTGGTGTCCAACATGAGGAGGTCTTCCGCCACGTCTAAACTTGCCGTCTTACAGCTTCAGCCCCCTCAGCCCCTCCCCAACCGCCTCCTTACTCCTCAAACTCTCCCCCGCAGCCCTCTGCGCAAACCCAACAACATCTTTAACCTTCAACCCCCTCCCGAGTCCATGCGCAATCGCCCCACAAAACGTATCGCCAATTCCATTCACACTAACCACCTCACTGGGCTCTAGTACCTTCTCCACCGGAAACAATCTTATGTATAGACCTCCAACCTTTCCTTTCCCATTCCCATCTGAATCAGAAGACGAAAGGTTCCTAGCAAGTACATACTGCCTCTCCTTCTCATCATGCAGTTCCTCGGCGTCAGCAGCCAGCAGTTTCGTCATCAACACGCCTTTGCTCCCCAATTTCGTCAGGATAGTAGGGAAGAAAGGGAGGAATTTGATGGTTTGTTGCGGGATACCTTGATCCACCAACTCACCGCCCAAGGTAACTGCTAGCGGGACGCGTAAGCCGCCATTGGGTATACCCAATGCATCAATCACACCAAACCACTCCGGTGACTCGAAGAGAGAAGACTGGCTGGCGAAGTCGTGGAGAGCGGTGAGTTCGTAGGTGTTTGGTGTTATGATGTCGACGAGGGGGGTGGGGTAGATGGATTGTGCAGCCGTGGTACTGGAGGTAGAGGTGTTAGGGAATATACGCAGCGCCTTTGCCGTAGAGACAGGCTCGAAGATCGTGGTTGTGTCGGGATGACGGGCTGCTTGCAGCCAGGTGTGTAGAGCGGGTGACGACCAGTTTGCATCTGTGACGAAGGCTTTGGGGCGGGGGGAGGTGGTGTTGAAGATGCTGGTCGCGCGTTCTTGGATTGTATCGATGGGGATGGTTTCTAGGATTGACATGTCTGCCATGGCGAGGGCGAGGTCTTTGTTCGTGTTGTTGATGGCGACGTATTGGGCTGTTCGGGATGGGGCTGGGAGAGTTTTGATACCGGTCGTTAGCATGCCTTCCGATTGCAGCTGGCTCAGGGCTGCGCGGCCACTCAGGTCGTCGCCAACGGCACTGTGGAGATGGACAAAGGAGCCTAGCAGGTGAGAGGCTTTCGCGATATTGTGTGCTACTCCTCCGAGTGTTTGAGTGATGACTGCTGGGTTTGAGGTGTGAGGTAGTGGATCTGTCTGGCTTGCAGAAGCCGTGAACGGAGCATAATCACAAGAAAAGTCAACCGCAAGAGCACCTGCAACAACCACATCGGGGACTCGTTGGGGCTCGGTTATGGGTGAGATTGACGAAGCAGGCGTGGAGGGAGGCTCAGAAGGTGATGAGGTAGCATTACTTAGTTGCTCTCCCACAGTAGAGGCGGGACTGGACTGCACGGGAGTGAAGTAAGAGGAATTTTGTCTAGCATACTTACATCAGTGCCAGTCTACGTTAAGCAACAAGAGTGCTGGCTCACCCTTGGGCTTGTTCCTGCTTTGCTTCGAGGATGGCAAGCTCTCGTGCTACAATGGTCGCACGCCTCACGTTTGATTCTATAAGGGCTCTGTTGGCGGGTATGCTCTTGCCCTTGCTGAGCTCCTTGATCTTAGCAAGCACAAAGGGCGTGTTGTCTTTGCCGGATATGTTGGCTGCTTCAGCCTGTTTCAGAGCTTCGGCAATGATTACATCCATTTCATCTTTGGGTATAGCGAAATCGGTAGGAACGGGGTTGGCGAAGAGGAGACCAGAGGAGATTTGGAGTGCGTGTTGCGCGTCTAGATGGCATTAGAACTGAAATCAGATAAATGATTGGGAGACTCACATATGACAGCAGCCGCCTCGATCTCATCCGCAATGGTCGTGGGGCTCTTCACTCCACTATCCCTTGACCAGAATGCAGGAAAGTCTACATTGCCTTTTCGTCCATCGGCGAAGGTGCCTACGCCCACGCCTTCAGTCTCAAGATACTCTATTGTCCGTGGGATGTCGAGGAAACTCTTGCAGCCACTAGAGATAACGGTGACCGGAGTCCTGCCGAGCTCTGTCAAATCTGCAGAGATATCCATGCTTGACTCAGCGCCGCGATGGACTCCACCAAGACCGCCAGTTCCAAAGATCTTGATGCCAGCGAGATGAGCTAGTAGCATTGTGCCTGATATAGTTGTACCGCCATTGAAGGACTTATCAGTCAGTCGCATACCGCATACATAGCCCAGGTCTCGTCGCGAAAGCTTCATAGTGTTTGGGTTACCAGCAGAAGAAGCCAGCTTTATCAACTCTTCTGGATCCATGCCTACACGTGCTACACCGTCTAGGATACCAATGGTAGCTGGGATGCCGCCATTCGTTCGGACTACGCTTTCGAGGAGGGATGCGAGGGCTACGTTCTCAGGGTAGGGAAAGCCTGTCACGTGAGTTAGCAAATGATGCGCGCATGAATATCTCTCGTTCCTACCATGCGTGTAGATTGTCGTCTCCAGCGCGACGACGGGCTTTTTGGAGTGTAGAGCTTCGCGCACCTCCTCCGAGACGCGGAAGAAGCCATTGTTGGTCAAATGGCGCCTTCCTGATGCAGTCGCGATGCCATGGTGACTGGCAGATAGCCGCGGCCTACCAACTGAGCGTGCCAGAAGTCTCATAGTGGCGGGAGAGAGTAAGGGTGGGTAGGTAGCTAGATATGGAGGGGTGAGCTCAAGCTGTCGCGCCAAGACGCGGAGGTGCCAGGGAACTCCGAAGAGAACACCTACGACGCAACATCCGCCGCGTAACCACCGACCGACCAACCCGCCAGCCAACCCAATTCCCTCACCACCGACCTCATACATGACTGGATAGCTTGACTGCTGGTCCAACAATGAGGTCTTCCCTCTTTACGAGCTGCATAGCAGCGCTTTCGAGCTTCGCGAGCGCCGAACTCAACCTCTCACAACCGCTGCTATCCAAGCAAGTGCTACCCAGCACATTCACACCACCGCAGGTGTTTAAGAATGCCAACCTAGTCCGGACGACCAACCTGGACAAGGCATACGCAAGAGAGACGATCAATGTCATAATCGAGAACATTGACGACAAGGCGCAATCAGAATACTACCTGCCATTCGACTCGAGCACGCTGTCCAAAGTTGGAGGGTTCGAAGTAAGAGACAAGAAGGCGGCTGAGAAGGGCATCTTCAAGGTAGAGGTGGTGGGCTTTGATGCAGAGAGGTAGGCAATGCCGCAATTGATATCATACATCGAGACTAACTGGGACAGCTCCGTTGAGTTCTACAAGATTCATCTCCCCGAACCCCTCGCACCCAAGGCGCAACAAACCATCAGCATCTCCTATTCGATCGCCTCGGCTCTGAAGCCCGTCCCCGCCCAGATCGCCCAGACGGACAAGCAGTACATTCAATACGACTTCAGCGCATACGCACCCTCGGCCTACCTCACCGAGAAGCAGCGAACCAAAGTCAAGTTCCCCAACAGCGATGTGCCAGACTACACGACCCTTCCCTCTGAGCTCAACGACGAGCAGACCGCCGACCCCCAGAAGCAAGGCTCGACCTTCACATACGGTCTCTATAACAACGTGCCCGCAGGCGCCCAGCAGGCCGTAAGCGTGCGCTACGAGTTCACCAAGCCCGTCACCCACGCGACACTGCTGGAGCGCGACATCGAGGTCTCGCATTGGGGCGGCAACCTGGCATCTGAAGAGCGCTACTGGCTCGTCAATCAAGGCGCAGGTCTCAAGAACCACTTCTCGCGCGTAGAATGGCAGCGCCAATCGTACCTCAACCCCCCGACCTTTGCCCTCAAGGGCCTCGCTCTCCCTCTCGCCCCCGGCGCCGTCGACCCCTACTTCACCGACGACATCGGCAACGTCTCGACCTCCAAATTCCGCCCCGGCAAGAAAGAAGCACTTCTAGAGTTGAAGCCGCGCTACCCCATCTTCGGAACCTGGAAGTACAGCTTCCGCGTTGGTTGGAACGCCGACTTATCCTCGTATCTGCGCAAGCTCTCCACCGGCGACACCTACGCGCTCAAAGTACCCTTCCTCGAGGGTCCTCGCTCCGGCGAAGGCATCTCCTACGGCCGCGTAAACCTCCGCGTTATCCTGCCCGAAGGCGCAAAGAATGTCAAGTTCTCCACCACCGTTCCTATCGTCAGCAACGAAACCAGCCTCCACAAGACTTTCATGGATACCCTTGGTCGCACAACCCTCGAACTCACAGCCATCAACCTGGTTGATGAGTTCAGAGATCGCGATCTCGTTGTCACGTACGATTACCCCTGGACCGCTGGATACAGGAAGCCGGTTGTTATTACTCTGGGCATGTTTGCCGTGTTTGCTGTTACGTGGGTTGTAGGTAGTATTGATACTAGCATTGGAAAGAAGAAGACCGCGTAGAAGAAACAGAAGAGGGTTGGAGTGTACAAAAGAAGATTGGGGAGAAAAGTGCGATATCAAGAGAGATCGAGAGATTTTGGGTATCGATGTATCTGGCTGCATGAACTGGGTTCACACCGTCAGTCAGTCAATTTAGGAGTATAGCGATTTTTTCCAGGTACCATGTAAGAAGAATGAATACGAAGTTCCAATTCCAATTTCCCGATGTCCAATAGTCTAGGGTATCACGCACTGCTCTCCCAAAACATGTCCCTGTGCTTTCTAATCCAGTCTAGAACTCAGCACTCCCCGTCTACTTCTACTTCCCTCACACCTCTAGCAAACACAGAGTCATCGAAAAGGATCCCTCCTCCCCTTAACCCGATGCACATGGCGACACACAACCCTAACACCCTCTTCACAGCCCCTCCTCCCCACTTCACTCTTAACACACTGCGCTATGCGTTCCGCAATCGCCACACTGCGATGTGTACCAGAGTGACAACACACACTCAGACTAACCTCCATCTCCCTCCCTCTTCCAATGTCCCTGTCCCTGTCCCTGCTTCTAGCGCGCTCCCCAAACCTAACAACCCTCTCCACGGCTTTCCGTGCCGCATACCTTGCCTCACTGTCTTCCATGACAATATCCTGGATCCGCGGACTCACGCCTGAGTATTCTCGGCATAAGCTGGGAGAGGGTGGGCGGACGGTGCGCGCGTCGATGGTGTAGAGGTGTGGGATCGGTGGGGTGCGGAAGGGGAGTTGCGAGGAGAGGAGGGAGGTGCGGGAGGATTCTGTGGGCGTGAGGTCCGTGGCGAAGGTTATTATGTAGACGGTTGGGATTGGGGGGATCGGCGTGTGACTGGCGTACGAGGGTGGATATTGGAGGTGAGGTGGAATTTGGTGCGAGGATTGGTGGGTGTAGTATGAAGTCGATCGTGGTAAACTGGTTCGTTGAGGCGGAGTGGAAGAACGGTATCTTTCTCGGTGGTGGAGTTGGGAATCGTATTCGAAGGAGTGGGAGTAGGTGGCGTATTGCTTCTTAGGCATCTTATCGCTAGTGTCGTAGTGTCGTATAGGCGGTCGAGGTGGTATGTAATTGCTCTCCCTCTCCCTTTCTCTTCCTCTATCTCTATCCCTCTCTCGATCTTTAGCTCTCTCTTTCTCCCTCGCCCTAACCCGTTCCCGTTCCCTCTGCCTCTCCTCCTCCGCAATCCTCACCGTCCTGCTCGACGTCCCCTGAGCAGGCGGAAGATCGAAATGAACGTGTCTGCCCTCCGTCTTTTTGAGACTGCTCTTGCGCGGTGGTTTTTCTGGCTGCTGTGTCTGAACTGGTTTGACGTATCTCCAATATTCTGTTTGAGAGGGTCGGTACGAAGTGTTTGGTCTACACGAAGTGCTTGGTTTGTGGGCTGCGTTGGGTCTTGAGTACGCTGTTTCGTAGTAGGAATTGTAGCGACGTGGTTCTGTGTATGAGTAGGGTCTGGATATGTAAGTTGTGTCGTAGGATCGCGAGGTGAGGTTGTGGGGATAGGAGGGAGGATGAAGGTAGGTGTATGAGTGGTGGGAGGGAGGTGCAGAAGTGTAGCGGTACATGGTTGTTCTTTCTCGTCTTCATGCCTTTTGCGATAGCGATAGAGTGTTGTAACTCTCCTTTGCGTAACGCGTACGATTAGAGAGCCATGATTAGTTGGGTAACGATATCGGTGATGTAGGTAAGATGTGCTTGCGAAAGATGCAGACTTCTTCGCGTAGGTTGATGGTAGTACAATACTCATAGTATGGCGTTCGCGCTCCGTGCTTGTGAGCATGCCGATAGGCAGTCGAAGCTCGTGGGAGTCACAGTCGCACAGAACGGCATGGCGTTCCTGCTTCCCCACACTGCCATGTGTTGGATGCGCATTGCGCCTGCCGGAGCTAAGATTCGAAAATAGAAGCTGAGATATGGGAACGCGACCAGCGCAGGTATGTGATTGCTATGAAGCTATTGCGAGTTTGACAACTTCGTTAGAAGTGGAGTCAGAAGTTGTGACAGGATTGAGAGAAGAGTTGCAAGTGGTCGACCATTGATGACTTTCGGAAGTGACGATTGGTAAGGTGACGAAGTGGTAAACAGACTGGAGGAAAGAACTACCAACCTTGGAAGGAACTACCTCACTATATGCGCCTTCTCCAACACCTCGTCTTTTCTTTACGTGCTCTTCTCACTTACGCCAAACAGCAATCTAGTGAACAAATCTACACCACAATACCAAGGCCTCATCAGTTGGGCTGCTGCCATTCTGGGTTTAAGAGCTCGATCACTAATCTTCTCGTCGAATTTGCCTACCACAATTTCTTGTTGCATTAACAGTACCTCTCTCGAAGTTCGCATCGACTTCGACACGAGTTTACAACCCAGTATACCTCGCGTCCAGTCAAGCTTTCTAACTGTGGGTCACCGGCCTCTCTACTGCACGACATCTCTCTAACTACGCCACACATCCTTGCTCCCACAACAACCCACGAGGATCAAAGACTGCAGTTTCGCATCGTGCTCAGTTCCACACTCTGTCGCTTGCGTTGGGCATCACCACAGTCAGAACGACTTAGCCTTGGCTTTCGATGACTTGCTTATGATGTGCGAAGCGGTCCCGGCGTATAAGCCGTACATTGGCATCTCGGCCGTATCTCACAATTTGCGGTCCGTCTTGAGGCCGGGCTTGATCGTCCGTTGGGCATCAAGGTACCATGTCGGCGTACTCGCACGGCTCGCTGACCGCTGCGACGACCCGGACGAAACTCCAGCTGCAGGTGTTCAGAGCACTGTCGCTGTCGACAAGCGAGGTGTTGTGATT